ACGTACTCCGAGTCACTCCCTCAGTACATGTTTTTATACTATAACGAGGATATAGTAGATAAACAGTGAACAGTGACACCTGTAGGTAAATGGAAAAACTAAAACTACATCATATAAACTGTTACACCCTACTTCACTTTCTTAGGGGTCGAATTTTCGTAAATCCTTTCTTAGTAGATATTTTCTAAGTCTTAAAATGTAGTTACTGTCCAAATTTAAGATTTCTACGTCAAGGCACTCCTCACTCCGAGTCAGTCACTCAGTACATGTTTTATATTATAAAGAGGATATACCTGTAGATACACAGTGAACAGTGACACCTGTCGGTAAATGGATAAACTAAATCTACGGCTAATTAAATTATATTCTGTTTGATTTAAGTATGCCCAATTTAAATGAAATTTCATAAACGCTATTTGTAAACGAAATAAAAAGACTTCTGTTATAAAATAAATTTTTGTCTAATTGTAAGAATTTCATTAGCAATTGATAATATAAATTAATAGCATGCGCTTTATTAATAAATCCAAATATTAAAATTTAAGTAAAGAGAATAAAAACGTCAATCCAAGAAAACCCTCTCAGCCAAATAGAGGTGTTACTTTTTAGGTAAAGGCAAATACTACCCTATTTTTGCACTTTTAACATATAGGCGCTATACAAACTATATACCGATGTATATACCAAAGCATTTAATGTAAATATATTTTAAGAAGGTTAACATTGGTATATTATGAGTGATTTTGGTATATTATGAGCGATTTTGCCTATGAGTAATGGTTATTAGCAATAATAATGACCCTCAGACCAAATTTCGGCCACGGCGGCCCGGACTCAACGGAGACTATATTATAGTTCCCCAGTGTACACGCAAGCACAGGTGCACTCTCTATTCCCTCTCTCTAATACGATGTAAACCGACACGACCGGAGGGAGATCAACGGCTTTACGTGCTTTCAGAGGCATGGGGGTGAAACACAGCCAACTTCCTGACTCCGGGCAGCTCTTGAGAATTTCTTAGAGGAAAAACTCAATAATTAATTTTTTGGCCCGACCGGGGGATTCGAACCCAGGACTTCATGATCAGCAATATCACTACTACAATCACTGGACTAACAAGGCAGTGGTTTTAGTATGACTGTATGAATAATATAAATACGATTAGCAAAAATCAACCCGCTTCTTTGCATCAATATTATCATTACGGATCTACTAATCTACTAAATTGCTTAAATATTGTTTTGAAAATACCATCTATTTATATTTGTGTCTTATATCATAACCCGCGTACAATAAAACTATACTCTGCTTAAATATACCTACAGCACCATATAGTTAAAAATATTAAATAGTTGATTATTACACTAAAATAAAAACCAAGAGATTTATATAAATATATAGTATAATATAAGAACAAACTTTGAGCCTTTTTGTAGCTGCAAAAAGGAAGTTTATGCCTACTGCCCAGCTCATATAATAGAAAGCGTGATGATTTATAATTATAAAAGTTTGATCTCTATATAACATGATAATGAAAGTCCCATCCAAATCGGTCCATAGGTTATTGCGTGATGCGTATTCAGACAGACAGACAGACAGACAGACATGAGACAACATTACCAAACAAAATTGATTTGGCATCTGTATCGATCATATTATATGTAGTATACCTAGCCCAATTCCAATTTCAAAAAAATA